CAGTAGTGGACGGACTGGGGGTTGGGCTTTGGTCAGCCGGCGACACAGGCGATGGATGTTGTTCCAGTCGTCGCCAGCGTCTTCCATCATACGCTCCCAACTTTCTTTCCTGTAGGACTCGATGTCTTTTTTAATTTCGGCCGTCAGTTTATTTACTCTCGCCTTGAGTAATGGGCATCTTGACGACTGCCAGTCCCTACGCAGTCGGCGTTTCTGCGCCAGTTTTCTGCGTGTCGCGGCCGGGATCCCGTCGAAGTTCTTGCGGACCGGGCCGGGTTGAGCCGCGTCTTTCAGGGCGTTCTGCATAGAGACTGTCAGACGCTTGGCGAGTTCTTCCACATCAGTAGGAGTTGTAATGGTGGCGGTGGGTGTGTTTCTTTGCATCGAGTCCTCGAATTGTTCCCAGTCGGTCCGGCGGCGAGGGGCCAACGGCGTTCGGATCGTTGGGGTTTCCGGGATATCCATGCATACTGGTAAGTGATCGGACCGGATGTCCTCTAGGAGGACTTCCTGCGTCGGTTGGCTGTTTAGGCCCCTGAAGAGTGCGATGTCTAAGACGTCAGGGGTCCTTGTGGGGTCGTGAGGATAGTGAGTTGGAACCTCAGGTCCTTGGACGGTGATATCCATTCTCTCGACTATCCTCAGGAGTCTTTTACCTTCAGCGGTGTCATGGTTTGAATTCCACGCCGTGTGCTTGCAGTTTAGGTCTCCTGCCATGATAGTGGGTATCGGCGAGTCGAATATGGCCTCGACATCAGCCGATACGATTCTGCTTCCCGGTGGTTTGTACGTTGCAAACACACGGGTGGGACTCCCTGCAATGTTTAGCTCGACCCCGAGTGCATACAGCGTGTTGAGTTGCACTTGGGGGAGTGGCTGGTGGGCAATGTTCCTCCGGATTATTACAGCCAACCCGCGATATGCCTTGTGGCTGTCCGTGACCTCGTCTTTGCGATATACATAGTATCCCGGGATGTGGAGTTTGTCGACGGCCCCAAGTTGCGTCTCAGATATGAGACAAACGTCGACGTTATACTCCACTAGCAGCAGTCTTAGCAGTGCCTTTTTGTGGCGGACGCCCTCCGCGTTCCAGTGGACTATTCTTGTACACATTGTGTTTGTGTCAGTCTCACTAGACCCGCGGTGATGGCCGGCAGAGGGTCTGCGCCGGACTGTACCGCAAGGAGTACCTCCATCAGGATACCTATCATGGTTTTTAGGAGGTTTCCTGTACTGATGGGGGTATTATCCTGGGCGGGTTGCTTCGCCTTCTTCCCCTTGCTCGTCATCGGTTTGTGCACCGTAGAGGTGGTGGTGGGTGCTTCTAGTGGTTGAGGGGCGGCGACTGCAGGCGGATGCGTCGTGTGTTTGGCCACTATTTTGTTGCCGGTGCCAGTGTCTGGGGATTTCTTCACCTTCTTCCCCTTACCCCTCTTGCGGTTTTTCTTGGGGGCTGTTGGTTCTGCTGTTCTCCGCTCAGTGGCTGGGTTTGCCGGGGCCATTAGACTGCCCTGGCTGGCGGCTGCAGGGACCGAGCGGCTGCTGTCCCTTGGAGCGCTTCTGTTTCTCGAGTTACTCGTGAGCACCGCCGTGCCGGCCTTCTTGGCACGGGATTCTCTTTTGTACACCGGGCAGGCGGTGCTGTTGGCTGTGTGCTGGTCCCCGCAGTTTGCACACGTGGGTGGTTCTTCCCTGGGCCTCGGGCATTCCCTGGCCGTGTGCTCCTCTCCGCAGCGGACACACGCGAGTTTCCTATGGCATCCGTATGATGAATGGCGGAAGCTTTGGCATCGGTGGCATTGAGCCGGGCCTTTCTTCCCCCGCCATGCTTCAATTTTGATTCCCGGCATACACAGCAACTCGCTGACTTCGTATATGCCGGGAGTGATGCCAGGAGTGCGCTTTATCTGGGCGAAAAATATGCAGCCTGGACGGCCCTGACGGGCTTTGATCTGCCTGATGTATTCGCACTCGTATCCAAGCTCCGTCATGGCTTCTGCGATCTCATCAATCGGTGTGTCCGCTGGAATGCCGCGGATAGCCACCTTAAGGCTTTTCTCAGCTGGTAGCTGGTAGGAGAACCAGCTGATTTTCTCCTTCTTTTCTAAGTCGGAGAGGTATCTCTGGATGGTACGATATTCCTCCTCCGACTTCGGTGAGAATCTCACCCCCTTCCCATACGGGCGAGCGTTCGGGGCGAAATTGAGTGTTGCCTTAAGGTGCTTGAAATGCTGGACCCAATTAGGCAAGTGTTCCACTATGAGCGGAGGGATTCTGTTCTTTTTGGCCGCAAGAGGGGTTTGTGCGGCGCCTGATGTCGTCGTCCTTGTTGTTGGAGGTGCCATCGTTCCAGGAGGTGGAGCTGGCGCCTTGGCTACGCTGGCATATGTTGCTGGTAGCGGGACTGTGTTTGCAGCTTCGGCTGTCCTATGCCGTAGCCGAGGGTCTCTCTGTGGCATGGGAGTCTGCTGTAATGGCGGCGACGATTCCTGACAGGGACGCTTGTGTCCCTCCTCTGTATCCTCAGGACTTCTGGGTCGTCGCGCCGGTCTCGTTACGACGAACTGCTCCGAGATACTCCTGGCCAGCTCCATTTCCTCTATAGGGGGCGTTGGCTGGTCCTCGAGGCGGGCAGCTTCATCCCCGACCAGAGCGGCGATCCTCTCCTTCATGCCTTGTGAGAGAAGGTCCGTGGCCAGCACTTGCCCCAAGATCAAGGAATCGCATTCCAAAGTTGATCTTGGTGAAAGGCTAGCCCGCGTACCTCCGCTCGGCAACTGGGAGAGTCTCGCCGCTCCCGGCACAGGCATGGGCCGAACACCCGAGGACAAAACGCCTGCCCCCGTGTAGGCTTCTTCAGTCGGCGACGCTGGAGACATCAGTATTTCGGTTGAAGAAGAGTGGGCGGCGTGGATGGCACTGGTGAGTTTCATCGAAGACACTGGCACTGGCACTGGCACTGATCGCGATGGATGTGGTGATTCTTGCGGGAGCATGGCTCCGGGACTGGTTTTATGAGACTGAGACCGATTCGCGGCGGGCGCGGCCTGCGAGGCGCGCTGGGCATCGGCGTCGCCCAAACCGGCGCGAGAGGTGGTGTCACTCGCGTGGCCGCGGATCGGCGCGGCTGGTTCGGCGCGGGAGACGCTCGGTGTCTCAGTGGTGCGATGCGCGGCGCGCGAGCGGGAGCGCTCTCTCCCCCGCGGGGGGGAGATCGCTGATCGCGGGCGCTGCGCACGGGCGCGCGCGGGGAGGGGAGCAGCGGTGGTAGGTCCCCCCCCCTGCGATGATGGAACACTGTGGCCCTGAAAAGGGCCTTTTTCATCCGGCCGTCTGGCCGGGCTCGGCATCACTTTCACAAACAAACTACTTAGCACTTATGCTTCAGCTTCATCTGGTTCAGCTTGTAGACGCCGTGTGTACGGCTCTTGGAAGCAGTCTTCCGCGATCCTTGCTTCTTGGGGGGGGCCAGTCCCCAGATGGACGTCGAACTAGGTGTTGGCTTGTCTCAGCTGTCCTATGTGGCAGCCGGCCGTTGCCCGGTACGTTTGCAACAACAAACGCACCAGACAACGTCTTCTTTTGGCGCTGGCTATTGAGGGTCCGAGCGGTGCGACGGCGGTGAAAGGCGACGGTCACGCAGAGTTGAGTGGCGAGGGCTCGTAGCTCGTCGAGTGGTGGCGCACACGCTGGTGCACGCGGTGTCTCTGCCACGACGGTTGTTCAGTGGCGCTGGCGCGGTGATGCACTCGGAGCTTGCGGTGGCGCACACGCCGCGACGATGAAGTGGGTCTGCTGCTGCGATAAGTCTTCTTCACTGGTGCTGACGCTGCGACTGCTTGCTGAGAATGCCGCTCGACGGGAGGCGGCCTATCTTTATACCCGCCCGCTCGCACGATAACGTTTCCAACTCGCGATAGCGATCTGTGGACGGGACGGGCGAAAATGAACGAGACGCGTGTCTCTTCAGATCGGTACTCTATAGCGTCTATTTATTTATTTTATTTCAATTTACAATTTCTTAATTCTATTTATTGTTACAATTTCTATTCGTAGGTAATAACGACAACACGCAAAGGAATACTTTATTTAACTTACACTATCTTAAATCTATGTAAATCTATATAAAATAACAGAATACAGAAACGATTAACTAGGGACTTAACAACTATAAATTACGATATATACAAATAATGTCGCGAACACAAATTTTTATCGCGTTAAGTCGTGATAATATTTAAATATGTATTAAAATGTGTGTCAGCAACGCGAAGTGGTAATGTCTAATGTCACTATTCTTAATCTATGATACCATAAGTTTATTATATACCTAATGTCATTTAAGGGTATTCGCTATGGTCCCGGCATAGAATGGGCCACCCCTCCCTTTCCGTGGGTGTCGTAAGAGTCGACTAATTGACGGCGAGGGATGGGCAGCAGCGTACCTCTTAAAACATCTCTAAAAGTCTAGCTGCGGTTGCCAACCCGTCTGCCAAATGTAGCAACAATTGACAAAACTCCCCTTATGGGGAAGGCTTATGTTCAGCAGTGGACAGTTAACGGCTGAAATTCTAGTTGAATTCGTCACGATGGGCTAACTGACCTGCTTTCATCCTCACCTATCATTTCTCACTGGTGCCCCGCCAGCGTATACCGATAGCGCAGGCATATAAGGGATTATCGTTCCATTAACACCCATTAAAAAAAAGATTTAAGAGTATTTTTTTTACAACACAGGGGGCAAACGAGCATTCGGCTCACCTGATGGTAAGTGACTACCGCCACCCATGATCACCCACAACACCAGCGGCATTGCAGGTGTGCTGCCGGCCTTTTAAAAAGGAATATACTCTTTTCTTGAAGGTTATGTTGTCGTATCGGTTCGTAAATACTGCTGCTGGAAGTTGATTCCAAAGAATTGTTGTGCGTGGAAGAAAGTGCCTTGAAAAACGCACGGTTGAAGACCGCCACTCGTCCAGATGATTGGGATGAAACTTTAGTTTGTGGCGGTTGTACGGTGGTGAAAATCAGCATTAATGAGCATAATACCTTTTTAATGGTATTAACCATAGACAAAATTAAAACAGACTGTCATTCGTACACTTACAAAATAACAATGAACAAAAAAAAATGTAGTGCTCGTATCCCAAAATTTATTTATTACAAAAAAAAAATACCGAACAAAATGTAAAAAGACAAATCAACTTAACAATAAAATCAGCAAATTGAATACCTCAAATACTTAATTTGAAATTAATAATTGATAAATTTAAGAAAAATGGGTAAACTGCCATATTTATACACAGAATCTGACGAAACGGATGACACGAATAGTTCTACGGACAATAATAAAAAGAAGAAAAAGTTTTCGTAAGTTATTGCAATTATCAATAATAATATACAAACAGACAGACAGACAGAAACATTATTTTTCAACCGACATCAAAATACGGAGGGTCTCAAGTCAATTGTATTTTTTTGTATTTATTACCTCATAACTCCGTCCATTGTAAACCGATTTAGTAAATTATTTTTTTATCCGAAAATATATATGCACATACAGATTGGCGACATAGAAATTTTTAACAAAATCGTTACAATAATTTATTTTTTAAATGAGAATAAATGGTTTTCCCATAAATGAAGTGTTTTTTTGTTTGTGGGACACAATCTTTAATTAGGTATATTGTGTAATAAAAATACAATTAAGTTATTTATTTATTAATTCATTAGTACATATATGTATACATAGTGGTCTTAATGCTAAAAGCATTCTCTCCCAATCAACCGTAGGGAAGTGTCAGATTACGAGAGGGAGACTTTGTACAAAAGTCGTTTGCTTGGGCACCTCTGTCCCATTCGTGTTTCTACCGTGAAACAGTATAATTGTTCGTTTTTAAATAGATTTGTCATACAATAATTTCGATTTATATTAAATAAATAATATTTTTTTATTATTATTCATTTATACTTTACGTACATATACGTGTTACGTACAAAACGTTTGTAGAAAGACCATCTATTTAAATATAAATTAAAGAAATATCAATAAAACATTTTAGAATTTTCAAGTGCGTAAATGGGAATGTAAAAAAAAGGAAGTGTAAACTACATTCCAAGTCTGAAAGGGACGACTCCGACAGCCGTAGTGGAAGCAGAAGTAACCAGAGAGTTAGGTATAAGCTGCCGGGCATATTGAAGAAAGATAAGGAGAGAGAGAGAGATTGTAAGTTCATTTCAATTGCATAACAATATAATTTATGATTTTCTCCTTAATATTGATACATTTTACATTAATATATCTACATAGGTGCGTGTTATACAAAGGGATTTCGGTGGAAACCTATCATCGTTTACTTATTCTCATACTAAGATCACCGGTTCTGGGCTCCCGAAAGGTGCATTAACCATGCCTATTTTTTAGTATTTACGTGTACGCGTATAGAAAATTAATAAAATAATATAATATCTCTAGATTTACCCCAAATAGAACTATGATATTTTAGGAGGGAAGGGATTGTTAGTAATGGGGATCTTAGTCCCCATTGCTATCAATATACCCCATCAAGTCGACCTCCAAGTTGTTATCGTTGAATTTCAACGCGCGCGTAATACCTCTGATATTGCAGGTGTTCATAGGTTACGGTAACCACTTACCATCAGGTGGGCCGTATGCTTGTTTGTCACCTCAGTGGTACAAAAAATGTCTTGTCATCCTCACCTATCATCTCTCATTGGTGTTCTTTCAGCCTATACCGATGGCACATGCGGGATTACCATTCCATTGTCATCCATTAAAAAAACAATGCTTCGCGAATATTTGCACCAATTTTTAGAAAATAGTGTAGCTCGGTGTGTTAATCTCCCATGCAAAAATACTCTACTGTTGCGCGGCGTTCACGCCAGAGGGCAGGGAGTTTCCATACATCTCTGCAGTTATGCATTAGGACCAATAATAGGTGGCCTTCAGTGCAAAAAGCAGAAGATCGTATGTACTCAAAGGCATTGGGGTGGCCTATATCCAGCAGCGGATGCAGCCTGAAATGATGATGTACCCATCCTTCAAATACACAAGCAGCTATGCATGTAGAGCAGCTTGGCGACAGAAACCTGAATGGAACAGTATTCAATAATTATTTCTGAACCATGTCCTGAACAGCATCAGAAGGTGATGATGATTACGAGTATCCGAAGCCACATTGCTCACAAGACAGGTGCTTGGTGGGGCGTGTACCCCGGCCGCCGGGGGCAAAACCCGGCCGCGGCGGCGGGGTCGCTATTATTGTCAAGAAGAACATTAGTGTGGGTATTTCTCTTTATAATTATCCTATTTCATACTGATACTATTGGGCCGACACGCTTGCCAAACGTGGCAACTGTTGGCAAAATCCTCTCAATAGGGGATGTTTTTTTAATGGATGATAATGAATAATGTAATCCCGCCTGCGCTAACGGTATACGCTGGCGGGGCACCAGTGAGGGATGATAGGTGACGATGAAAGCAGGTCAGTTAGCACATCCTGATAAATTCCACTGGAATAAACCATGATGGTTTTCAGAGGGAACCACGTGGAGGTCGACCTGATAGGATGTATTGCTGGCAATGGGTCAGTTAGACCTCATTACTAACAATCCCTTTCCACCACGAAGTCGCGGTTAAAAGCTAGTAACTGTAATAAAGTTTCATAATATCCTAAGGTTCATTGAATGAAAACATATTACGCGGACCCCAAATAATTGGGATTAGAGCAGGAATATCCTAAGGATCATTCCCACAGTCGCCGTCAAATGAAATGACGGCGATTATCTTTTACAATCCGACCGTGTATCTACAAGACTGGTGTTCGATGCATCTATTCCAAATTCGGGTACGAACTACGAACTCGTCCCCAGAGAACTGTTGACTACCAACAGTACCGTTGAGCTACGAATAGTCCTAAAATGTAAATAATGGAATAACGCAGACGAAGCCACGGGAATAGTTAGTATCTTAATATACATATGTATATAGTATTTGTATTGTATTTTTTGTACATGTATTTTCAACTTTAAAAAGAAGAAAATAAGGTTGTATTTTTTATGTTTGTTACCTCATAACTCCGTTCTTTCTTTTATGGGAAGCCTATGTCCAGTAGTGGACAGTTAAAGGCTAATATGATTATGATGACAAAATACAAAATTTACCAAAGGGAGACTTCGTACAAAAGTCGATTGCTTGGGTACATCTGTCCCATTCGTGTTTTTACCGTGAAGCAGTTGTGTTTGCATAGCTGTTTCGGTTTGAAGGATGGGAAGGGTGGGTACAGAGGAATAACACCAGATTCCTCAGGAATGGCAACGCATGGGGGGTATCATGGGCGAAACAGTATACTCTGTTATGTCTATGCTACTGCTCATGTCTATAGGTGACGGTTACCACTTTCCATCAGGTGGGCCGTCAGCTTGTTTGCCATTCTAAATTGTATAAAAAAAAAAATATGAAGCAAAATACGAATATAAACACTTGTAGATACAAGTCTAAATGCGGTACTTTCGCATTACTCTCTCTGTCTCTGTGTTGCCTTTTCACGTCTAAACCACTAAACCGATTTTAATGAGCTTTAGTATAGAGATAGATTGGACCTAGGAAAAGGACATAAGTTACTTTTTGTTGTGAAAATAAAATTTGCAGAGGATTAAAGTTTGTACAGGAAATCGGTCATTCTGCAAGTAAGAGATATAAAACTTAGTTCTTTGCAGAAGAAGTCTAGAGCCTCAGCTAGACTATTATATATGTAACTAGTGATCCGCCCTGGTTTCGCATTGGTACATAGGTAGAAAGATGAATTAGTATTTTATATTAATTTACTTTACGTTCATCATATCAGCCGTTAACTGCTGGACATAAGCCTTTCCCATAAAGGGAATTTTGCCAGTAGTTGCCACGCTTGGCAGGCGTGTTGGCAAGCGCGGTTAGGCTTTTAGAGATGTTTTAAGAGGGACACTGCTGTCCATCCCTCGACCATAAATTCTCTTAGTCGCCTCTTATGACACCCACAGCAAAGGAAGGGCAAGTAGCATGTTCTATGCCGAAACCATACTTAGCTATTTAGACAACAATTTTAGATTATTATACTAAATTTTTCGTAGGGTTCTCTATTTTTTTTTTTTTAAATAATATACAGCCTATATTGTTTGCTGCTGACGTAGCTTTGTACAAGTGAAAGAATTCTTACAATCGGTTGAGTCGTTTCTGAGTTTATTCATTACAAATACACATATAAAAAATTAAATCTCTGGTTTTTATTTATATATATATATATATATATATATATATATATATATATATATATATATATATATATATAGGTATTTTATCTCCAACCACACAATACTTCATCATCATCATCATTCCAGCCATTATCCGTCTACTGCTGGACATAAGCCTCCCCATAGACTGCCAAAAGAACGGTCCTGAGCCACCTGCATCCACTGATTCCCTGCAATGCATTTCAGGTTGCCACTCCTTCTAGTGGGGGGTCGTCCCACACTGCGTTTACCCGTATGCGGTCGCCACTCAAGAGCCTTTATTCCCCATTAGTTGTCGATTTTTCAGGCTATGTGACCAGCCCATTGCCACTTCAGCTCGCTTGTCCAATGCTTACTCCAAACCATTTCTACCTCAATGTCCTAAACGTCGTCGGAACATACTTTAGAAGTCTCACAATATTTTTCCCTCTAAATTCTCTCCAAGGGGCAACTTGTGAGCCCCCTTACATACGGAGGGCAGCAAATTCGATTCCCAGGAGCGTCAGGTCGAATATATTACGGCTATTATGAAACTAATAATATTTATCAACGGTGATCCTTTAACTATTGGTTATAATTTGAACTTAGGTTCTTTTATACAAGTCTTTTTTTATTTTGGAAGTCGTATTTTTACTATATTTACAGTTATTGTTTATAATATAACATTCATTCTGAACTAGCGATTGGCCCTGGCTTTGCGCGGTTTTCCCTAAAAAAGGAGGTCCTCAATTCGGTCTTATTATTTTAAGTTTATTATTTCTTAACTCAGTTGTAAACCAATTTTTAAAATTTTACCAATTTTACCAGAGGGAGACTTTGTACAAAAGTCGATTGCTTGGGTACCTCTGTCCCATTCGTGTTTCTACCGTGGAGCAGTTGTGTTTGTATGGCTGTGTTTCGGTTTGAAGGGTGGGATATGGCGTGAATTTACTGGGTACAGAGGAATAACACCTGAGTCCTCGGGAATGGCAACGCATGGGGGGTATCATGGGCGAAACAGTATACTCTGTTATGTCCATGGTACAGCTCATGTCTATAGGCGACGGATACAATGCCCATTATGACCACAGGAGTTGCAACCTCAACAAAGCACAAGCAGTACCAAGCGATACCATATGAAGCGCCTCAGACGGAAACGGTCGTGTTGACAATCTGTGGAAACAGTCTGCGGATACGAGGTGGTAAGTGAAAATTTCATACGTACAGTAGAATCTTGATTAAACAAGTGGGTGTCGTAAGAGGCGACTAAAGGAAGCGAGGGGTAGGCTGCAGCGTCCTTATTAAAACATCTCCAAAGCCTCACTGCTGTTGCCATTCCGTTTGACAAGCGTGGCAACTAATGGCAAAATTCCTCTTCTGGGGAAGGCCTATGTTCAGCAGTGGACATCCGACGTAACCTTCAAGAAAGCTCATCCGATTTTAATGAAATTTTGTATTGTTTGCTTCAACTTAGCAGTTGAATAGTATTTATTCCGTTAAGAAAATATCGACCTGGTATTTATTTATTTAGATGCTTTTGTACATTTACTTATATATATTAGGTTATAATAAAAATGTACACAGATGGACTTATCCCTTAAAGGGATCTCTCTTAGTCAAGTCAAGTTTCAGAAAGTATCTATAGGGTTTGTATATAAAGCATAACATATATGGTGCAGAAAAAGTAGTATGATAAATAAAATTACACACACACATATATATATATATATATATATATATATATATATATATATATATATATATATATATATATATATAAACATAGAATAACTATTATACATATAAGTAACACCAAAGGGAGACTTTGTACAAAAGTCGTTTGCTTGGGCACCTCTGTCTCAATCGTGTTTCAACCGTGAAGTAGTTGTGTTTGTATGGCTGTGTTTCAGTTTGAAGGGTGGGATATGGCAGTGAATTTATAGGGTACAGAGGAATAACACCTGAGTTCCCAGGAATGTCAACGCATGGGGGGTATCATGGACGAAACAGTATACTCTGTACTCCATGGTACTGCTCATGTCTATAGGCGGCGGTTATCACTTTCCATCAGTTGGGACGTCAGCTTGTTTGCTATTCTAAATTGCATATAAAAATTGTGACGGTAGGGGCAATACAATATTTTACAGGTCAGTCTAGTTCATAATAGGATTGTGAGCTATAAAAAAACCGACTTGAATTGTGGCAAAACTAGTTATTTTATTTAAAAACAACTAAACTATTGAACCGATTTTGGTAACGTTTCTATGGGATCAATCTATAAGTATATTCTCTTACATAAAAAAAAAAATATCCAAATCGGTTTATAACTGATGCGAGTTAGGAGGTAACAAATATAAAAAAATAAACGAATTGAGTACCTTCTTCTTTTTGAAGACAATTGAAAATACTTTATGATTTTACAACGCAAAAAATGGCGGTTTTAATAGTGACAAAATTTAGTTTTTTTTTTAATTATTTATAAAATATCATACTAGTGATCCGGGATAGTTAAGCATGAATAGATAGAATTGTTGAAAATAATATATAACCTATATTATTTGCTGATAATTTTAAAATCGATTGAATGATGGTGATGCAACATTTCAAATAAGTATCTCAATAGAATAGTTTTTTTTCTATTTAATTTAATTTACCTTCCAAAATTAAACATTACATTGTCTGGTATATAAATTGGAGCTCTATAATTGGCTAATGTATGGTATAAATATAATATTTTTAATTATTCTACAGATATAAGATGTAATATTAAAATAAAAATAAAATAAAATTCTTTTTGACTTTGTCCATTTACAAATAAACAAACAAATCCAAAATGATTTATCAAAATCCGTTCAGAATTGGACAAGATATCGCATATACCTACAGTATTCACAAATGAAAAAATTTAAATCGAAGACTTCCTCCTGTTTAAAGTCGCTTAAAAATTCGAAAACTAAAAGCCTAACTGCGGTTGCCAACTCGCCTGCCAGGGGGGAAACGGATTGTTAGTAATGAAGACTGAGAATCTCATTGCTAGCAATATACCCAACCATGTCGACCTCCTCGCGGTTCTCCCTGGAAACTATCATGGTTAAGTCCTGATGAATTCATCACGATGAGCTAACTGGCCTGTTTTCATTCTCATCTATCACCCTTCACTGGTGCCCCGCCAGCGTATCCCGTTAGCGCAGGCGGGGTTACCATACCATTTTCACCCATCAAAAAAAAAAAACCCGCTTGCCAAGCATGGTAACTGACAGTTGACGACCGATATGATGACAATGACTATAAAGAAAAGATTTTAGTCAAGATATAAATATAGGGAGCGTTTTATTGAATTTTCAAAGGTTTCCAACGTTTTCTTGCAGACCCGTTTAAAAGATATCTCGACAACGAACTAGATTGGAATCTGTTGGAAACAAGGAAAATGACTGTTACAAAATTGAAATCCGAAGCTGAGTCGTATTATGGACATTTACATAATCCAATGAATTATCGTAATATACCTCCGTTGAGTGTCACAATCAGTGCTCGAATTATGGCGTTAAAAAAGAAGCGCTTCTTGCCATTTTATTCCGACAGAGGCGCTACTGTGTCATAATGCAAACAAACTTTATTTCTCCTTTAGTCTATGGCGAGGGGCGAGAATATGAATTAAAAACTATATTTTCCCGCCTGTTTAGAAATATGCTATTTCTTTTTATTATATATTATTATTTAAATATCATATTAATTTTATAAATAAAAATGCAGTCTGTTGACGTGATGCATTCTATATCTTGTTATAATTTATTTGTTTTCAATTTTCTTTTTTATAAAAAAAATATAATTTACTCGTATCTAAAGAGGTTCATTTTGAACACCGCCATTTTGGATGCTTTTAGAATCATAAACAATTCCGTTTACATTGTAATATTAATGCTTATTCCCTTATTTATAAAAACTAAAATCTGCTAAAAACCTATTTCAATTATTACACTGTTTAGTCACTTTCATTCAAATTGGAATTTTAGTAAAAAAGAACGAAACAAAACAATAAAATAGCTAAAATGGTTTATGAGAGGTTTGAACGTTCTTATGAATAAGGGAGTTAGATTATAAATGGTTAAGAAATGGTTATAAGGCTTCTATCAATAATCGCCTAAAGTGGACCATTTTAAATCTTTTGTGACGAATTAAAAGTTCTTATTATTAATTAAAATAAAACATTTAAAGGTTAAACTTTATGACATTTATAATTTTTTTTTCATTCTTATATGTGTCATACGCTCTGAACAAATATATAATATATTCTTTATTGCACTTGTAAGTTACATATAAAATAATGTATTTATAAATATTGTGAGCCTTGCTCATAATATTTATAAATACTTGGACTTATCTCTGACAGAGATCTCTTCCAGTCAACCCAATACAGTGAGAAAGCAAAATCTACCTCAGTTTTGATGTTAGACTCGAAGGTTAACGGATAATAAAAAGTTAATTTTAAAATGTTGTTTTTCTTATTTAATTAAAGATCTCCTTGCTATCAATATAGTAATAATTCAATTTTTTTTACTACTTTTAAGCAATTTTCAAAAAATGCATTTTTTGTTCTGAATTCATCTGAATTTTTTGTGACGTATAAAAGTTTTTTAAAAATTTTATTTTACAATTATTACGCTCCCCCTGTGACATTCCTTCAATAATTCTGAATCGTCGTAGCTTTTTTTATCTCATTTATGTCCCCCAAATGCCGCCCCCGAAGTACCAATTTGGATTTTCATTTTTTTGGGCAGGGGCATTGTCGTGGTGAAGAATCCACGCCCCTCTCGCGTCTGGACGAATGCCACACGAGATTTATTGAGCACATCGACGTAGTTTTTCCACATCGAAAACAATCTGGAGGGACGAATTCTTGATGGTTGTACCTATTTGAGCGGGATTTTCTTGATTTTTTTGTTCGTGGTTCCCCGGATGTCTTCCACTCTTTTTTAATTTTATTGTTAGGGACATAAGGAAGGGGTCCTGCGCTTACCTGGCCTCCCCACTCCTCTTTCTCGCATTCCAGAACACTTTTATACGAACTTTCCGGACAGACCTCGTATTACGCGATTCCTTCAATAATTCTGAATCGATTTTCATTATTTTTTTGCAGTCCATAGGATTTATTCCCGTGTTGTACCTATTTTAATTTTACGGCAACTGAAATGCCATTTTTATTTGCTATGATTTCAAATAAATTTCAGTGGATTCAAACAGAATTTACTTGTAAATCATAGGCGTATTTATGAGAGATCGAGTGGGTCGTGCCCACACTAGAATTGTCTAATACCCACCCAGGAACAAAAGCGGCGCTTTCAGTTATGAGTAAAGAGTTAAGCGCCTTGGTCAATTTAGCGCTTTAATATTCCATTCCATCCTCGAGTAATAATAATAGTTACATCTCCAAATAATCCTATTAATATTATAAAGCGAAAGTTTGTAAGGATGGATGGATAGATGTTTATCACTCTTTCACGCATAATTTACTGAACTGAATGCATGATGACTTCCAGGGGGACCACGTGGAGGTCGACCCGACAGGGTATATTACCAGCAACGGGACTGGTAGTCCGTATTACTGATAATCCCTTCCCGTTTGTGGGTATATTTATTTCACTTATTAAGAAAACATACATAGTCAGCAGTGGACTTCAACATTTTATCTAATTTGAAGTTTTATAGACCCCTGGGAGCGTATGAAGCTCTATACGCGAGCACAATGGTTTCTACTGTAAAACTGGTTTATTGGCTCTACAGTACGTGTCAGACCACTAAAACTGGGGAGTTGGTCGCTACAATAATTAAATTTGTTCTGTATCACAATTTGGGTAAAAATTGTACAATTTTTTTTTTATACAACTTAGAATGGCAAACAAGCTGATGGTCCACCTGATGGAAAGTGGTATTGATTATTGATATATTTTGTTTACTTTTAAAGTTGATGATAGAGAATCAAATTGTATGTTACCTTCACATTATATGTATGTTATTTACGCATAAAATTATTGATCGATTCACATATATGGTATATCGCTTAAGTTGATAAGTCGTTCGAATAAAAGTCAAAGTATTTTTTTTAATCATGATGCGTTTCTTCTTAGAAATCTGTTTGTAACATTAACAAATGTCTATATATCTATTAACTACAATTCTTTTTTATCGCGGAGCAAAAGTTAGGCATAATTAAGTCAGTTAGTCTGATCAGTTGTAACGTCGTGATAGATTGATCAAGGATTAACCACGCTGGTCTTCAGGAGCGACCGCATTGAAGTCTATTTGATACGGCATACTCCTAGCAATGGGGCCGATACTCCTATTCTCATTATAAAAATGTTATCGAAAGTGTTTGGTTATAATATATCATGTAGGGTTTTTGTAACTACTGGAATTAGTAAATAAGCCGATAGTTTAATTAATAGACAATAGATATAGACATTACGTATTTTTGGATTATTTTTTATACGAAAAAAAAAAACTTAAATCGTAACAAAACCAAGTTAAAATATTGAATTAAAAACTATACAATTGATTTTGATAAAATTTCTAAGACGCCAATTTGAAAGTATATCTTTACCAAAAAAAAAAAACTATATCGCAGCCTTCTTCGCTTTTTAAGTCGATTAAAAATACACTATCCTGTTCATGGAACATCTCTTGGGCTAGGTTCGTAAGGATAAGGGCGTAAGAAGTGGTTTTTTTTTTTAATAAGACGAAGAGGTGCACCTTCTTTTGCTAATGGTATATAATGACGGAATGAAGAGATGAAGCTGAAGTCAAGCCAATTGGTTTACAGTGGCGAATTTGTTATAATGCTTTCTATGGAAAGCGTGTGGAGGTTTTTTTTTTTTTTTTACAACACAGGGGGCAAACGAGCATGCGGCTCACCTGATGGTAAGTGACTACCGCCGCCCATGGTCACCCACAACACCTACGGCATTGCAGGTGTGCTGCCGACCTTTAAAAAGGAATATGCTCTTTTCTTGAAGGTTATGTTGTCGTATCGGTTCGGAAATACTGCTGCTGGAAATTGATTCCAAAGAGTGGTTGTGCGTGGGAGAAAGTGCCTTGAAAAACGCACGGTGGAGGACCGCCACTCGTCCAGATGGTTGGGATGAAATTTTAGTTTATGGCGAGTTGTTGTGTGGTGAAAATCTGCAGCAGGTATCAATCCGAACAATTCTTCAGAGCACTCCCCATGATAAATTCGGTAGAAGATGCACAGAGATGCAACATTTTTACGCAGTTTCAAGGTTAACAAGAGAGTAACAATCACTGGCTGCCACTTGTAATAGTTACACCGTATGCTGTTTATATTATAAGAGTTTGTTCGCTGTGGTATCAAATACCAAAAGATTGATCATATACTTAGTCTAACATATTTACGAGACAGATACATATCAAGTCTCAAGTTCCTAGTCACAGTAGTGTCACTACACATCAACAAGACGAACATGGCACATTCAATCTTGTTTTCAACGCCTTAAAACCTTTTATTTCCTTTAACAATAGTAGATGCAGTGTTGCCAGCATTTCCTCCATCCAATTGCATTATACTGCACTTTACAGATTTAGTGCGTTGAAATTTGGCTGTTTGCTTTTTATGCCTTTGCCTTATGAACACTTAGAAACGAGTTTACTTAATTTCGCTGACAATTTTCTTTTTAGATTATCGCAGTTCTTTTACAGTTAATAATTAACGAATTATTATCGAGATTATTATTATTTTTTAACAGATTTAAAAAGAAAGAAAGGTATCAATTCGATTGTATTTTTTTTTGATGGGTGAAAATGGTATGGTAACTCCGCCTGCGCTAACGGGATACGCTGGCGGTGCACCAGTGAAGGGTGATAGATGAGAATGAAAACAGGCCAGTTAGCCCATCATGATGAATTCATCAGGAATTACCCATGATAGTTTCCAGGGGAAACCGCGTGGAGGTCGACCTGGTTGGGTATATTGCTAGCAATGGGATTCTCAGTCTCCATTACTAACAATCCCTTTCCCCCCAATTCGGTTGTATTATGTTTCTTTATGTTACCTCATAACTTCGTCAGTTCTATACCGGTTTGGAATATTCTTCTTCTAACTGAAGGGATGTACTTTCCGATTGGTCCTGTAGATATTTTTTTAAATTTTACTCGTCCTCATGAATGACATCGCATGGGGTGTATCATGGGCGAAACAGTATACTCTGTTATGTCCATGGGACTGCTCATGTCTATAGGCGACGGTTACCACTTCCCATCAGGTGGGCCGTCAGCTTGTTTGCCATTCTAAGTTGTATAAAAAAAGACAAAATTTTTTTTGTATATAACTTATAGTATAAGTATAAGATTTATAGTATAAAATCGGGAACAAACAGAAGACAGTCGTCTTTTGTCATTTATTCCAATACAGAGCTTTCTTTTAAACTTTTCAATGTACAAGTATTTCAT